TCGTATTGCTATAACAACTATTATTACTAATCTTATCACTACTGATACTATTACGACGACTACTGCCACGATTCATTCTAATGTTTCTCTTACTATTACTTCTACTACTACGATTTCTATTACGACCTAGTGCTATTACCTCAACTACGGCGACACCACATACTACTACTAGTAGTACTACTACTACTACTACTACTACTACTACTACTACTACTGCTACTGCTGCTACTACTACTACTACTACTACTACTACTACTGGGCTCCAACAAAAGTTTCCTTGGAAACTCGCAAGAGGAAAAATATGTATGTAAACCCGTCGGCATGGTGAAAAGTCGCGCGCGCGTGCTCAGCGTTCGCACGCACGCGATCCCGAGACGTCCCATGGCCACAACATGCTTCCAGGAATGCCTCAGGCCACGGACGATAACGTCCAGAGGACCCAGGATGATGCCACCCCAACGCGATCCCGCCATGGATTCTGGACCGTCTCAGGCCGACTGTCAGATGACGAAACACATGAGCAACGCGTGGCGCCGAGATGGCCCGATGGCAACAAGATGGGCCCAAGCGCACCCAGGGTGGCCTCATAATGACCACGCGATGGTTGCGTGATCCAAACAAGACCAGGATATGATCTCAAGATGACCTCAAGACGACCCCAACACGGCAATAATATTGCAGCTTATAAGCCCCACTTTACTTCGAGCCGATCCCAGCATGGTGGGATCCGTGATCGGCCCGGGATTTTGGTCTACCCCATTTTTCATGGGTGGGATTTTGATCGTCCTGAATGAATATTATAATACTAAAGCGGAATAAGCCAGGCGGGATCCCGCCCGGCCCACGGAGGAAGACAACATTGCTAGGCTTCCACGGGGGTAGGGGGTTCGGAAGGGGCGTCGTTTACTTCCGCTGACATTGGCAAGCCTTCTGGCGGCCTTCCCCAGTTTTCCGCCTCGTTTTACGTCCGTCGACTTCCGCCGGCCAGCGTCGTGATGAAAATTCCAGGGACTTTCATTGGGCCGATGTACTACTACTACTACGACTACTACTACTACTACTACTACTACTACTATTATTACTACTACTACTACTACTACTACTACTACTACTACGTACTACTACTACTACTACTACTACTACTACTACTACTACTACTACTACTACTACTACTACTACTACTACTACTACTACTACTACTACTACTACTACTACTACTACTACTACTACGTACTACTACTACTACTACTACTACTACTACTACTACTACTACTACTACGACTACTACTACTACTACTACTACTACTACTACTACTACTACTACTACTACTACTACTACTACTACTACTACTACTACTACTACTACTACTACTACTACTACTACTACTACTACTACTACTACTACTACTACTACTACTACTACTACTACTACTACTACTACTACTACTACTACTACTACTACTACTACTACTACTACTACTACTACTACTACTACTACTACTACTACTACTACTACTACTACTACTACTACTACTACTACTACTACTACTACTACTACTACTACTACTACTACTACTACTACTACTACTACTACTACTACTACTACTACTACTACTGCTGCTGCTGCTGCTACTACTACTACTACTACTACTACGGCTACTAGTATCACTAAGAATAATAATCATGCCACTTTTACGACTACTATTTCTACTCTCCCCCCCCCGAATTTCTTGTATCCTGAACGTTGTAGCAAAATCCGGCCACAATTAGCACACATGTGATGCAGACAATTGCCAAAAAGAAGCAATTCGGCATCTTTCACAACATAGCGCAATGTCCTGAATGTTAATATATATATATATATATGTATATATAGATATATAGATCTATGTATATGTGGCGGGAACTCTTGTCCTGGGGCCTCTGTCCTCTCCCGCCCCTCCTCCTCCCCTCCCCTTCTCTCTCCCTTCCCTTCCCCTCCTTTGTAGTATGCGTGACAGATCTAGGTTGTCGCCCCGTCGTCTTCGCGCGACGACGACGACAACCTTTTCGTTCTTCGTCACGCATCCCAACGCACGACTTGCCGGGACAGATCGTTTATCATCCCCCGGGGCCCCGAGTTTTATTATCCCCTGGGGGTTACTACCAGGGGCGCAGGGTTTGTATGTCAGAGGCTTGTGCGGATCTTTGGGTCGGCATTGGGTACCTCTCGGCAGCGCCTCTTGCGCCGCCCTTGGCGAGCTGCGCGTGCCGAGGAGGAGGGCCCACGCAGATCATAGAAATCCGCGCGGCCATTCGAAAGCTTAACTTTGAGTCGGGCGTGTCCCGCTACAGGAGGAACATTCAAACATAGAAACTAGTCTGGGGACGATGCTGTAGCATGTTTATGCGATTTGTTGTATATGTTTGACTGTATTTCATTGTTCGTCCAAAATCCGCCTGTAGGAGGACATGCCCGACCAAAGTTTGATTTTAGTCCGTTGTTTTTTGTTTCTGCCTTCGGCCACCCCGAACCCCAGAGTTCCCAGGGGCCCATGTCGCCTATGCAGGTCACGGCCCTCGGAGAGATACTGCTCGAGAAGGGTAATCGCCACCGCCCAACGTCGGGAGGGAGCAATAGACACAGACACGACATAAATGCAGATCGCCACAGGAGCGTGCGAACATTCAGGAAATCGAGGGGAAAACGAGGATCCAGAAGATGTGCAACCACGGTGGGAGGCCTGGCGCTTGCTGGACGTGCATCTCCCTTGGCGCCCTTCACAGAGGTGGGGCAGAGGTGGGGGCCCGTGCTGGGCGGAGGCGGTGCCACCTCACGGGGCGACCCCGGCGGGGCATCGCCGGATCGTCGTCCGCCGCAGCCGCCGGAGCGGCACCTCCCGATCCCTCGAGGTGAGGGCGGCGGTCCGCCTGTCGGCGGCGGGCGAGGAGGGGAAGGGAGAGGGAGAAAGCCTTCTCAGAAGGCAGCGGGGGGCTTCTCAAAAGCCCTCGCGCCCTTGAGAGGCTGCTGCGTCTTCGGGGCAGGCGTATGGAAAGCTTCCCACAAGGCCGGGGGACGTATCCGAGCCTTCCGAGAGGGCCCGCTCCCTCTCCCTTCCCCCCCGCGCTCGGCGCCAAGCCTCGCTCCTGGAGTGAGCACAGGCATGAGCATGTGCAGAAGTTTTCGGCGCCCCGCCCAGTTTCCGAGGACTCCTTGGAGCTGCGCCGGAGCCCCCGGGCGGCGCCCCCAGGCGTCGCCCTCGGCGCCGCCCCTGGCGCGCGCCGCGCGCTGGGGACGGGGGGGCCCAGCGCAGGTCCAAGACAGCCGCGCGGACCTCAAACTGGTCATGCTGACGCAGTTGTCTCTTCCCCTATATATCATCCCAGCGGGATGAAGTCGGGCCGGACGAAAGGGGGGGATTGGGAAAGGGGGGTTACGAAATTTGGTGCATGCAGCTGGCTTCGGCCCCACCGAGGGGCCCATTCCTCGATACATAGCCGACTCGGGCGCCGGGAGGCGCCGGGAAAATCAGCTACGTGAGCTGATTCTCAACCCCCCCCCTTTGCTATCCCCCCCTTTCGCCCGACCCGATAAAGGTGTGCTCCACCTCAGCAGAAGCTGTGGTGGTCCAAAGGTTTGCCGATATCGCCTTTTGGAGAGAAGAGGCAGGGGGGCAGGGCAGGCGAGGGGGCCGGCCACGGCCGGAGCAGTGGAGGAAGAGCGGGAGGTGCGGCCGGGCGTGGGGGACGGGGCGCGAGAGAGGCGGAGGGAGGCAGGGAGGAGAGGGGGGAGGAGGAGGAGGAGGAGGAGGAGGAGGAGGAGGAGGAGGAGGAGGAGGAGGAGGAGGAGGAGGAGGAGGAGGAGCCCAGCCTTACTGTCCGCCCAACGTGAGAAGAGGAGGAGGAGGACGGTAATTGGGTGGCAGTGGAGGGGAGGAGGAGATGGAGCAAGGGGGTGGGGGGCGGCGAAGTGGAGCAGGATGCGAAATTGGGCCACCCAAGGGTGCCCGAGGGCAATCGCGCCCCTCAGCCTGGGCTGGATGAGGACGGCGGCGCGAGAACGCGAAGACACCTGGCCGCGCTCCGTCCCTCGCGCAGTGTGAAGCGCGACGGTTCGCCACGAAGCAAACGGGTCACGCGGATTAGTCAAGCAGTGGTGAAGCGTCCTGGCTCGCCTATATCGGGGGAACGCAAGACCCGAGTAAGCCGGAACTCGGGTTTGCCGACGTTTTTTTGACGAGCGCGTCCCGGATTTTGACGGTCCAGTTTTCGTGGGATGTCTGCAGCGGGAGGTCGCGTCAAATTTCAGAGTGGGCCTCGCCATTTTTATGATGACCCGTCGGGCCAACCCGAGTCCCCCGTACCCGAGTCTTACGCCTCCCCGACTATAGGCCTACCCAAACAATGTTCTGAGAACTTGTTGCGGTCTGCACGACATGTTCTCAGAACAATTCTGGCTGGGACTGTCTGGTTTCAACACATCTGGCTCATCTTCTAAGAACATTGTTCTTGTTCTTTAGAACATTTCTAGGTTCTCAGAACATTTGGTGGCCTATAGAGATGCCAGGACGGTCGGTCCTTGCCCAAATTGGGGCTCCCGAGGTTCCGTGTTCTGGCTCCCGGGGCCCCCGAAGCGTCGGTAGAGCGTCAGGAAGCGACCCAGGGTGAGAAGTCGGTCCTCGGGAAGGCCGCTGGGGTCAAGGACCCGTTTTCTTTCATGGCAGCTCGTGGGTTACGTTGCATCTTCGGGGGACCTCGCCTGTCCCCCAAATTGGTGTCTTTTTTCGTGCCCGACGCGGGCCCGATGCGGACTCGACGCGGATCTGGCGCGGATTCGACGCGGATTCGACACGGTTTCGACACGGATCCGACGAGTCCGACATGGAGTCGACACGGATTCGACGCGGAGAGGGCTGCGACGGGACAGACGAGGTCCCCCGAGGATGCAACATAACGTGGGGTGAAGGATGAGGAGCGGGAGGAGGAGTAGCTGCCACTCTTCACCGCCGGTGCCGCCGCAGGCCGCGCGGCCTTCTGCTGCGCCGGGGTGCTGGCGGCGCTGGCAGCTGCGATGGTGGCGCAGCGGTGCCCCGCGCGCCGTCGTGTTCGTCGTCGTCGTCGTCGTCGTCGTCGTCGTCGTCCTGGTCGTCGTCGAGGAGGTTGTCATCGTCGTCGGCGGCGTCGTCGTCGTCGTCCTCCTCCCGGCCTCCAGCCAGAAGAGCCCTCGACGCGGCAGTGCACCAGGCCTTCTGGCGTCTTGAGAACACCAGGGTCCCCGGTCTATCGGAGCCTGTTCTTCTGGGTGCACGATTCGGCTTCCAGGACTAACGCATACCGTGGCGTCCATGGCTTGTGAGATGGCTGTATGGTGTGTGTTCCTGGTCATTGGTTGTAAGACCGTGGGCCGCACGTTCGCAGCGGTGGGCTGGTTCTAGGAAATGCGAGGACCGCGTATGAATGATCATCATGTATCATGTTGTTCTTGATATCTTACGATCGCGGACGTTCCGGGGACGGTAACGTCACGATTCGCGCTGGCCACGCCAGTAGATTGTGAGAGATAGGAGCGCCCAGAGTGGTTAACAGGGAGTCGAACACATGTCGGATAGTTAGGAGAGTAGCAAAGTGAAGCAGATCGACATCAGCCATGTGCCTGTGAGCAGCACAACAGCACGTGGTTATGCCAACATGCATGAGAGCACCACGAGGACTGTGCGCGAGCGATCACCAGACAGCGAGGTCAGCCGGACCCTGCCAGTACCATGAGCATTCGAGCGTCACAGCACTTCTGAGAGAACCACCTTGTGATTGCGACCACAAGTTTGCAGAGGAGGAGAAGGAGGAGGAGGAGGAGGAGGAGCAAAAGGAGGAGGAGAGGAGGAGGAGGAAGAGCAGGAGGAGGAGGAGGAGTGTTAGTGTGCTCTTCCATCTTGTTCTGGTTCCTGGGAAAGTCCAGCGGCAATCCTCAGGAACGCCCAGGAGCGCCCAGCAACGCAAAGAACATTGGGGTCAGGGTCCTCTTCGCGGAGCACCTGCAAGACTCAATGCAGATGTTGCGGCGGTTTCCGAGCGCAGATGCACCAGTACAATGGGATTTCTTAGTCTCACGCTAGCCTGCGAGCGCAACTGTATGTCTGGGTGATTTCCACCGCCAGACGGCGAGGTCAGCCAGGACCTACCAATACCACCGCATCATGTGAGCATCACCGGCAAACACAGGTCGAAGGGCACCTCGTCTGTACTACACTTGTTTTTGTGCGCGCCATCCTGCGCATGCGAGCGCCAACGAGATGCTTGAGAACACACGCCGTGTTTACCTGCACCATTGATCGCTCCCGTACCAAAACAGCTTACGAGCACCACATGACCGCGACCACCAGCGATGTGCCTGTCAGTGCCACAACAGCCTGCGAGCGCCACGACGCGTTTGAAAGCACCGCAACGCGCAAGCAATGCGCATCGGAACACCAACTCTTGCAATCACCGCAACATTCATGAGATCACCTCGATGGGTTTGCGAACGCCAGGCGGCGACAAACAAACAGCACCCTGCAAGTAGCATCGACTACACGTACGTAAGCAGATCAACATGTTGGACGCAAGTGCAACAGTATAGCGCGCCCTGTTGATCATATCATTGGTCGCGAACGCCACACTACGATTAAGAGCATCATCAAGGTGCTTGCGAAGACCAGGATCACCCCCGTGCCTGAGAGCACCAAGGTGCGGGTGCGCCCTCCAGATGGCGACCGAAGACACACCTTGCCAATGCGTGTAGCAGTTCCGCGCGAGCACCATGGTTGAGAGCAGCACCACGGCCTTGCCTGTATCACAAGGGAACGGGGCGCTCACCACCAGACAGCCGGGGAAAAACCGGACCCGGAAAACGAAACCATGACGAGAGCTAAAATCATTGTATAGGGTTCAGTCGGGCATGTCCCTCCAGAGGAGGAATCTTCAAACACAGTTTTAAGACTAATAAGTGGACGAATTTGGTCTAATGTTTTGCATCTTTTTGCATATGTTTGAGGAATGTGTGTGTCATTTGTCGTCCAAATTCCGCCTGTAGGGGGACACGCCCGACCAAAGTTTACGAGGGGACCCCTGCCTGTGAGCACCAGCCTTGTGCAGCAGCTCGACGAGCGCCACGCCGCGCCCGACAGCACAACAGACTCGGGCTCTGCCTGCCGGCTGACGGCGAGCGACGTCGGTTGTTCTGCCCCTCGGAGGCCCCCCCCCGCACTTCCCCGCAGGGACTCGTACTCACAAGGTAACGAGCCTCTCTTACGGCGCCACCTCGGAGCTCATCCCTTGAAGAGGCGGCGTGGTGACCACACCGTGCGGTGAGTCGATGGGGACTCGAGGTCACCGCACGGTTTTGGGTCTCGAGTCCCTCTCTCAGGCGATCGCAACCATGTATCAACGGGGCGCGGGTTAGCGACGGGTCCCGTTTCCAGGGGGAATCGCGGACTTCCGCTGCCGAGCGAGGCGGCACCGGCCGCATTTTGGGGAGGGCGCCTC